GCTAACTGGGGCTATAGGCCCAGGCCCCAACATTCAAGGGTTTCCACGAACTCGAATAAAAAAATACTTGCACTTGCACAGATTCTACGATAATAAATTGAAGAAGTAACAATACAATTTTTATTTATATTCACGAAATGATCATTTTTTGCTGCCCTTAAGTGGACGCCATATTAATTTTAACTGGGGGGCGTCGTGAATCTTCCCTGATGAAAATTACTCAACTTTCTCACTTCTCAAACTAATAAATGTTTAAAATCCGCCGAACTAGATTCCGGAATGCAAACTACGTTCTTTCAACAAGCCACAGTGATTCGTTACGCGAACGTCGATCTTCGAAAGCGCAGTTCGGCAATCATCCCCGATTCGTTTCGCCACCGGCACGCGATCTTTCATGCTTTCTATCGAACTTCGCGTCGGCGTCATCCACGATAATTTTTGTCGCCGTGGCTAACGACCGTCCGCTGACGAAATCATCACGGTTGTTAATCCCATTCTTGCGGAAACAGTCAATTGCGTAGCAGACAAATCCCCATCAATATATTCACAGTGCAATCCAAATTGCATTAGTCCCGAGCACGAGGTGACTCGATGAATCCGTCTTCTATTTCATAATTAATTTGATCACGTGCGCCTGATTTCTTAATCATACATTGCAAAATTCATCGTTCCAAGGTTGTCAAATTATTTGATAAATAATCCAACAATAAAACAATTTTCACTTCAAGGGAATTACAATTAAAATCTTAATCATTTAATTAATTATATTAACTATCAAAGTTAGGTTTATTTTAATAATTTTATCGCAAGGATACAATCGTGCTTAAGCAGTGTTAAATCGATCTCTTGTTGCAGTTAACGAAAGTGCTATTGGTGCTATCGTGTCTCGCTAGTGATGCACTCGCTGGATTGCTGCCGGGTGGCGGCGCCGGTGGAAGTGGTTACCAGTACAACAGACCAGGCGGAACAGGTGGTTTCGGCGGCGGTCCAGGCGGATTCCAGGGAGATTTAAATGCCCCCAGAGGAAGCGATTTCGGTAGGAGACCATCTGGACTGTACGGTGCGCCGACGGCTGGCGGCGACGCCGGATTCGGTCGTCCTTCCACTTCTTACGGAGCCCCTGGACAATTCGGCGGTGGTGGTCCCGGTGGCTACCAAGATGGCGGATTCCAGGGCGGCTATGGCGGTCGCGATAACGGAAGAGTACGTATTTTTTAAAGATCGACTGATTTACTACTTAATATAATAGTCGTTTAGCCCTTTTGAACTTAAAAGGGGTGGCACAGAGTGATAAGACG